CCATTAGGATTCTCAACAACTGAAAAAATCGAATGAATTACGACGATTAAGGATCGGATCGACACTTCAGCGAACTCGCGTGCGAACTGGCCTGCGCACTCGAATGCAAAACCCAACTTCATTTCAACTCCACCAGCCATAAATCCATCAATAACGAACGGATTTCATTCAAATTTGGAAATTAAGTAGATATTATCAATAATTTGTGGGCGGATTTATTTCAGATTTTTTCATCACTTAATTTTTGTATAGCCACAAAATACTGAAACTTGACCTGACTAGGACCTAACCTGCGAGGTGAACGCGAAATTATGTTTTCCGTATTAATAAAAAAGCAATTGATGTAAAAATCTTAAATGATTCCGTCCACAAATTATTGATAATATCTACTCAATTTTCAAATTTGATTGAAATACGTTCATTATTGATGGATTTATGGCTGGTTGAGTTGAAAATGAAGTTAGGTTTTCCGTATTAATGAAAAAAGTTATTGATGTAAAAATCTGAAATAATTCCGTCTACAAATTACTGATATTGTCTACTCATTTTTGAAATTTGAATAAAATCCGTTCATTTTTAATGGATTTATGGCTGGTTGAGTTGAAAATGAAGTTAAGTTTTCCGTATTAATAAAAAAGTTATTGATGTAAGAATCTGAAATAATTCCGTCCACAAATTCCTGATAATATCTACTTAATTTTCAAATTTGAATGAAATCCGTTCATTATTGATAGATTTATGGTTCATTGAGTTGAAATGAAGTTAGGTCTTCCGTATTATTAAAAAATCAATTGATGTAAAAATCTGAAATAATTCCGTCCAAAAATTACTGATATTATCTACATATTTTTCAAATTTGCATAAAATCCGTTCATTATTGATGGACTTATGGCTGGTTGAGTTGAACGTAAAGTTAGGTTTTGCATTCGAGTGCTCCGGTGTCGTGCGTATAGTGGCAGGTTCAATGTTCATTTAAATAACGGTCCCAGTAAAATACTTTATTGCACAAAACGTTATATTTACATTAAAAGTTTCCTTCACACTAAAGACTGTAACACGGCAAATAAGACACCTAGTAGCTTCGCTCCGAGAGACTAGCNGGCAGGTAGTGCCTCGAATTAGGTTATTTTCAAAAATGGAAAAGTTAAGTGTTTCCAATCCATGATGAACGGTGGTAAAAATAAATTGTACTGTGGGGTCTACTTTTATGAAGGCACTTGGCAGGTAGTGCCTCGAATTAGGTTATTTTCAAAAATGGAAAAGTTAAGTGTTTCCAATCCATGATGAACGGTAGTAAAAATAAATTGTACTGTGGGGTCTACTTTTATGAAGGCACTTAGCAGGTAGTGCCTCGAATTTGGTTATTTTCAAAAATGGAAAAGTTAAGTGTTTCTGGCCACCCAATGGAGATGTGACAGACCAAGCCCAGCGCTCAGCTCATCCAGATTCTGCAACATGGCCTTCTTTTCCTGTCAAAGAAATAGCCGAGTATTAAGGTGATTTCAGAATTTGAATCATAATGTAGAATAATTGTGTTTAAACTAGCCATGTAACATTATGAGGTAATAGCATAGTGGAAGTAAATTATATTTTGACATAGTCATTGATTTCTGTTACTTGATGCAAATGATCAGAATATTAAATAAATATCCCTTCTAAGTGGGTGTGGGAATTGTTCTATTTCAACATGATTTATCTTGTTAAACATTCATATATAAGGTTTAAATTTGTGTATGTTATTTTTTTAGTTGCTGTGGTTTGCAGCCTCCTTTTTGCTTTGTAGACCCACATTTATTTATATTAGTTCTGAAGGTAAAAAAATTATTTGTTGCTTAAGTAGCATTTATTAATATATTCACCCTTTACTGGTGAATATATTATTCCCTTATATTATGAATATATATATTCCCTTTACTGGTGAATAGAGTATATAATCCTGTATATATGCTGTATACTATCTCAGGTGCAAGTTCAGCATAAGTTCATTAATGTAAATCAAAATTTTCAGACGACGTCAATCGAGCTGCCCGCAAGATGACGCAAGAAGTTATGAGTTGCAGTGAAGCATCTGGGAGTGAAAATACAATAAGAATTCATCATCCTTGTGAGTATTTTACTCTAATTATTCCTTATATTGTCATTTATGAGCTTCAGTGACTCATGAAAATATCAAGACTGCAGATTGCTGAATTGTGCTAATTTCGGGATGCATGCCAGAGGCCAGTATTGCCCAAGACCAGCATATATCTCATCCTCCTTTCCGTGCGTGAGCCTGCTAAAGGGCAGAGTAGACTAAGGGATTGTATGTTAAAAGCCAAAGGTAAAAAATCCCCTTCATGGAAATTAGCCAGCAAGGTAATGAGAAGTAAGCCACCAATACAATCGCTCTACGCCGTATTTAAAACCGCCCAACAGCTCTATCCCATGCCGTCTAACCTCCTCACGATTTTCGGTAAGAAACTCCCTACGCCACACCGCTGTTGATACACAGCCAGCACTCCAGCCCGTCCGTTCGTCGCAGCTGTTTTCCCCCAGCATAACTCTACCTCCACGCTTACCCCGTCTCCCCGCCTTTTTTTACCGACTGCCGGACGGCTTTTCTTAGTTTCTGCTCACTTGACTGCATTACGCTATGAAAAGAGGATCTATACGAGTTGNATGCTGCTGGAGGTCTTCATGCTGCTGGAGGGCCTCATGCTGCTGGAGGGCCTCGTGCTGCTGAAGGGCCTCATGCTGCTGGAGGGCCTCATGCTCCTGGAGGGCCTCATGCCGAAGGAGGGCCTTATGCTGCTGGAGGGCCTCGTGCTGCATAAGGGCCTCATGCTGCAGAAGGCCTCATGCCTCATAATTAACTATGCCAGCTATGCAACACTGTATCATCCATATTTTGTGCTCAAAAGACTCAATGGATCATACGGTTGCGTTTAATGTTGGGGTCTCGTACGACCAAGTGGACTGAAAAGTCGCTTTACATTTTTTATACGCGTGCGAATAACGATCAGAGAATTCGTTTATTCAAATTATCAAAGAGTCGGACAATTCTTCAGGTGACGTTGGTAGATCGAAAGACATATATCAGGAAGTAGTTTTAGTTTATTAACGACATTTTGAATGTAACAAACATTCATTTTCAAGTTAAGAAGAGCATTAAATATTGAATTTTTGGTGGAAATAAGTACATAATATACGTAAATAGGATACTTCAATAAAATTTTAAATCATAAAATCACTCTGAAACCCATTTCAAAATTCAGCCGAGTCCGGTAGTTAAGAAAGAGATAGCATCCGTCCAATCCGCAGAGACGATGAAGCTAGCCATCTTCGGTCGATTGATGTCAGGCCACTACTTGATCGCAATGCTGGTGGGTTCTTTCAGTATGTTCAGCATGTTACATTTTTTAATATACAATTTTCAATATTCCATACTCATCTATACACTACTTAGTGACCGTAATCTCTAGAAATTATAAGAAAATTATGTTACGTCCTTTAAAAATGTGGTCGTTAAAGAGATACCTAATTAAGACACGTTAGCAAGTTATCAAATTGAGTCTGGAGATGTCTCATTCCGATGCACCCTGTCAAATTCAGTTCCACGATTAATAACTTGATACGCAATGAAGTTTGAATGATCGCAAATCGTTTCAAAATTTAAAAACCTCTTTATACTCGTCCTAATATGAATTTTTATGTTTCTGAACATTTCAGATAACACTGCAAACGAAACCGGACACATGAATGATTTTGTCTCTCATTGTGAGTTTTCAAACGACTCGTGTCCTTGGAAAATATTCATTGTTTATAGATTGATTACTTTATTTTTGCAAATAAGAGAGGCAGGATTTTGAGAATTTCGGCACGTCTCATGTGGTGTTATTAAAGTTATTTAGAGGTGACGTTTTCAGAATTTCAATCACGTATGAAATTATTTAGGATTCATAAATTGATGAATAAACGAGATTGATAATAGGCTTCGATAGGATGACGTCACGGTACCGAATCGCGAAATGCATTGTGGAATCGGCCGCCATATTTATTGCATGGTCTAGCTTTCACCTACATTTTCTATCTATTGCGCTTGTCTCTTATTACAGTTTTTGCTTGAAGATGGGACGCTACTGCGCCTTTGTTGGATGCACCAGTCTTTCTCACGAGTATTTAAACGGAAAACTGGACGATTGAGTACATTTCTCCAAAGAAGAAAAGCCGAGAAGGAAGGCCATGCAAGGCAGCGGAGTTCTCGACGTTACCCCATGACGTCGACGTGCATGGGAGGCGGCGATCCGTCATGGAACCGTCACATTTGAAACTAAACAGAAAATCTTCGCCAACTTGAGACATTTTCTCTCTGTTATGCATCATCATTTTTTAGTGGTACCCTTTTACATTGGTCATACCTACTATAACCACTGTGCTTCCTTTTTTCTGTGGTCTTGATCATCGCGCTGAACTGGGTTCTGCACAAGCATTTATCTTTCCAAAACGCAAATAGGTTTATCTGTTAACAGTATACCCACGGCTGTGTGTAACTTCAGTTTGCCCCAAATTTTATCTCAGTTATATATAGACGGATCGATTCGAAATTCGGTACACGTATGTAAAACGGAATTCTAAGACTTTTTTGTTCGCGTGAATTTTTCGAAAAAAATGAAAGAAAGTAAAAATTCTCTGAAAACGGACAAAATGAGGGTATTGTAGATATTCTCTGTAGATAGTTGAACTCGAGGCCCGCGGGCCGTAGAGTTGAGCTCAAAGTGGCCGCAGGAAATAATATAAACTGCGAAGGTTGCAAACCCAGACAAATGGGAGAGAAACGCCGCTCATAACTGACTGCTTTCTCTTAATGGGCAATAAAAGCTCACAAAAAGAAAACCGCATGACCTACGACGGGTACATAGAGCATTAATTTGTCCCTGTGATATGCATCGTGCAGTGGCAAAATTATCCATCAACTTACAAGTCGTGCTAACAACGACCACATGGACAAATAAGGAACTGACGAATAGAACATATTTATTCAATCTTGATAGACATGTTTCTCCGACATGCCGAACAAACATAACGAAAAAAATACGCGAAGCTAGCAAGAATTTCTAGCACAAGCCACCGTGGAGGGTCTGAATGTCACGACCGAGAAGCTTCCATACGTCGGACCTTTTAAATGGGATTTATCATTCACTAAGACGACTCTCAACATCGCACCAAAAAGTCGACACGACGTGGTGGTGCCTATGTAAAATTTATGGTGATTCAATCATTAGCCATAAACAAAATATGTTATTTAACAAAAACATAGCACTTAAATTATAAAACACTAATTCAACGTCTAACATCAAACCTTGGAAGTTGAACATAAAGCATTTGAGCATACATATGCTCATCGTCTTCAGGATGCATAGTAAAATAGCGATTATCACATAGAAGCAACATGCAAATATATTTATTTATTTATTATATGAATGCGGTTACAAACACATGGCACGTGCCTTGATATTTTCTTCGAAAGGTCAGGACGATACCTGTCTCGTCGCATGAAAGTCGTTCTTTAAACTTTCATTTCCCTTCTTCTTGTTCTTGATAATTGCTCCTCTTTATTAGTTGTTGATTGAAATATAACGAATTTAAAAGCTAAAATAGATCTTAAAAAAATTGGACCGATACAAATCGTTGAGAAAATGGGCACTGAAGACGAACTAATTCAGAAAAATATCTTAAAGAAAAAATTTTACAAACAATTAACCAATAGAGCGAAGGAGACGGAAGAATTAATTAATGATATTTCGTTAATTGATCGCGGAAATCTAAATAGGTAGAAAGGTCCACCATGCACGGAAAACTTCGCTCCTCCCAAATACTTTGACGTAATTGACACAAAGGAAATATTTATTGCACTTAAACTGCCTTTAAATTGACTTACAATCGGAGGAGAAGCCATATTTTACGCGGTTTTCTTTCCAGATGCGAAATAAATCATGAAAACTTTATAGAAAAAAAATTAATTTACTGGCAGAGGAAGCTCTCTTGACCGACTGGCAATACCAACCAGATGCACTCAGAGGGCAAACACTTTGTAATTAATTAAATTAGATGAAAAATTTTTACATTAACACAAATATCTACCGCAAAGTAGGCCTTAAAATGCCATTAATAAAATTTTGCGTTCACTAAAGAAACTGGCGTGCACACGTTATAAAATAAGGATAAACTGCAAATAAATGGTAACAATGACGCGCAGATGGTAACAACAATGGTAACAATCTTGCCACAATGCTCCCAATTAAATAATAATAAACAATCTTGCTACAATACTCCCAATTACATAATAATTGACTACGACATGCAACACACAAGACACTTGCAATTATGGACGCTGAGTACGGGAGTGGAAGCTCTTTCACTGGAAGCTAAATGACACATGAATCGCATTCAAAACATACGGCAAGGCAAAACTTCTGAGCAGTAATCAGTGCGAATTAAACAGCATTTAACTAACTATCTGCAATGAAAACCTTCACCCTAAGCGACTTTTTATTTCTAAATATTTATCGTAATTTTTTCACACATTTTTCATCACGACCGGGAAATTCCTTAACATTTTCGTAGCTAAAATTCAAAACTTAGTCGAAACGGAAACAGGGCTTATGTCCTACACATACAATCAACTAGAAAAAGACAAAATTATTCACGAGATGAGAACCTTAGACATGAAAGTTCCAAGACATTCTGCCATCAGAAGAAGTTTTCCTCTTCAACAAATAAAATTTAAGTGCAAATCGTGAAGTCGTCATGAACATCATAACTACGACCGGGGTCGACAATTAACGGACATGAAACGTTGACATTACCAGACATACGTAAGCCTGGTAAGGTTATCACAGTTTTAACGGAGAAAGCGTGCCAGAGGGAAAATGTGAGAGCACCGATAAATAATTCAGTCTATTATCCTTGTTGCTTATGCGGAGGTGTTCTCAAGCTATAGGATCCTACGGCTGGGATGGAACACTTTACGAGGAATGAGGTCTGGAATTGTAGCTTGAACATCTTGAAATAATGTCGGAAAAGATGCTTGGTGATTAGCATGATATTCGATGTGCTAGGTTCCGTCATTTCATCTCTACAACGATGACAGTTGAACTTGAAGCAAAGAGTTTAGACGCTCCTTGAGGAATTCGAAATCACTGTTATCGCTTAATCTACGATGAGAAATACGATGTCGGTATAACTGTATGAAACACAAGAACTAGTTTTGCCCCGAATCTGTTCACGAACGTCGCCATTAAACAAATTTCCGACAGATATGTACCTATGTCGTGCCGAAATCGCGGAATTGCTGAATTCTATTGAAACGGCAGCCATTTTGCCGAATCTTTAGAATCAGCAATTCATTGCTAATTCAGAAAATTGGACGTTAGAGTTAGAACATAAATCGAAAGAGTTAGGAAAGGTTAGATAAAGTTCGGTCAAGTTCCTTTATATTTAAATATTTAAAAAAAATTAGCTGACTGACCTAAACCTATATCCTATAATATAGTATATAATGCTGATTCGACAGATTCGACAAACTGGCTGCCTTTTCAATAGAATTCAGCAATTCCGCGATTTCGGCAAGACATGTACCAGCTCAAGCGCTCAGGGACGTCGTATGCGTTCGATAACGCAAACCTTGGCCTGTTCCTCTGCTGCTCAAGTGTTCAGTTCATAAGCTCGCAGTCTGGTTACGAACACAAGAATATTCAAGTTGCACCTACCCTGAACAACACAGTAAAACTGGGCTAGCAGACACGAACTCGAAATATGATGGCAAAACAAGCCTCTACTTCCGATCATTTGGAGCTCATCACACCAGAACTTTACTGATAATTTGGAGGAGGATTTGTTCTTAATGTAAAAGCGCTGGGGAAGCAATGAAGAACAATGGCTCCTGAAGAACTTGGCTCGGCGGTCCAGCAAATTGACGGACTGTTGAGATTGCTGTTATTACCATCTGCTAAGCTATCTATGTCGTAATCCACAGATCTTTCATACAATTTATTTACTTCCTTTACCCCTAATTAAATGGTTGTAAATGTTGATGCAATTTGCGTCTAGAACTCGTGCAGAACTTGGTGCAGGCGGTCCAGCAGGATGTCTGCGTGGTGAGGCTGGAACACGAGCGCTGGACGCAGGCGAACTGCCAGGTCGCCGCAGCCGCCCACTTGAACGCCTGGGAGCAGAAAATTAACCATCTTTTCATCTATTGAATAGTGCGGCTTGATTATATACGATTAGTAGAATAGTGCTGATTGTTGATACACGATTAGTAGAATAGTGCGGCTTGTTTGATACACGATTACTACAATAGTGCGGCTTGTTGAAACACGATTACTACAATAGTGCGGCTTGTTGAAACACGATTACTACAATAGTGCGGCTTGTTGAAACACGATTAGTAGAATGGTGCCAGTTGTTGATATACCTACAATCAGTTGAAGAGCGCAAGCTGTTATACACGATCCATTGAATGAGCAAGCATAATTATCTGAGAAGGCATAATCGTTAAAACTATTCCAGCAATAATTGCACATCCTATTATCAGTAATGGCATTGCACCTCGTGAAATTTCGGCTTCATCCTGAAATTAAAACTGTAGCAGGAATCTGTTAACAACTGTGCTTTACATTTCTAGCAGGCACCTTTTTTCTTGAGGTTGTTGATGATGTTATCTCTTGTTTGGCTATCGCGGCCGTTGAAGGCGATGAACGTTCCTCTGTCCTTGCCGCGCGTAGAGTTGATGACGGCAGGATAGCGGCGCTCGAGATCAAGGATGCCCTATTTGTTATATAAGGAATATAAATAATATATAACATAAGGATATTTACATATCCTAGTTAATATTTGCGTATCCTAAGGTAATGTATAACGCTTTCTAGTTTGTAACGCAGGATAGCGGTGCTCAAGATCAAGGATGCCCTGCACCATCATCGGCTCATTTATATATACTTACAGCTATAGATAATATAATTTTTACATATTTATATGTAATATTTCTCATCCATAGGTAATATTTAGCGCATTGAGTTGGATAGGGCATTATAAAGCGGCGCATGTAGATCGAGAATTCCCTGCACCAACATCGCTTCAGTTATATATATTTTATCAATAGGTAATATATACATATCCACATGTAATACTTCTTATCTATAGGCAATATTTACAAATCTTTTTGTCATATTTGTGTATCCTAAAGTATTATTTGACGTAATATGTTTAATTGGTGACGCAGGATAGTGACGCTCTAGATAAAGAATGCCTAGCACCAACATCGTTTTAGTGTGTAATTTATATACATATTGATTTAAAATCAATAGGTTATTCATATTTCTAAATGTAACATTTAAACGAAAACCTGAATGAAATGGTCGGCATGCAAGCTAAACAAGTACTTGTACAGGCTCCGCCGTTGTATCTCAAATGGTTGCAATTCGTTGAAAGAATTTTAACAATTAAATATAGAATAGAAACTAAGTTAAAAATGATCATTGCTTGACAACGTTAGCGTACCACAGGTCCACATTCTTGTTCAAATATGAGCACAACGTTTAACATTCAGTTAAAATAATTACTGTCGTTCTGAAATTATAACTGTCATACTAAAATTATTACTATCATACTTTAATAAATTATTACAGTCATACTAAAATTTTTACAGTCATACTAAGTCATACTAAAATTATTATTATCATACTGAAATTATTACAGTCATACTAAAAGTATAACTGTCATACTAAAAGTATTAGTCATAGCACCTGGTATAACTTGTCGCCCGTAACTGTAGCGTTATGGAGGAGGTTGTCACGCTTGATCACCTTCAGCACCTCCTGCAGCATGATCACCTTCCCGGGCTCCCCCATCCAGGTGTTGAAAATCCGGTAGCCTTGAGCTGGTCTGCGGTGAGACGTAGAAATTGTTGCACGGTCATTGACAAACTTTTTTTTTATTAACAAACACATTAACAAACTTTTATTGCTTGATAATATTCCGTGATAACATATATTAAATACTTGAGTATATTCCATTAATTAAAAGATATGTTATATCCTCGGAAATATTTAATGAAAAGATAAAATTTAATCTTTAACAATATTAAGTGAAAAAAGAAGACGTATTTTCATCAAGCATCGTTAAATCAACTTGGCATGAAGAAAAAATTCCAATTCAGCTGAGGCGAAAAAGTCATAGACATTCCTATAAGATGATGCATGGCAATAGACATTCCTATAAGATGATGCATGGCAATAGACATTCCTACAAGATGATGCATGGCAATATCACCTTATGTTCACAAGCATGCAATTCTGTTGCGTCTAAACATACAAGCTTCTGTATTAGACTTTATCATGAGGTGGCTATGGTCTGCTTTCTGATCAGTTGCATTTGGAATTATCGGGTGCAGATGTGATTAGAGGTCTTAACATACAAATTAAATTATCGGTTACAGACGTAATTACTGGTGTGAAGATAATTAAATTATCAGTTGCATATGTGATTAAGGGGTCTAAACCTAATTAAATTATAGTTACAGATGTGGTTAAGGTGTAGGAAACTAATTTTAGAAGATAAACAATGACAATAATAAAAAATGAAATGAATAAAAATAGAATAAAAGTTCAGCGGGTGCCCTAAACTCCTTATAGTGACAAAGCCGGTGCTGAGCGTCTTAGGTCAACATCATATATTAGGCGACACAGCTGTTAATATGAAGTGATTATATGCTATGGAAGTAATTACGAGTCTCGACCCAATTTGGGAAAAAACAATGAGGAGCTGAGCGACTTACTGGTTGTATGTCGTCAGGGGGTATAAACCTAATTAAATAATAATAAAACAATAGAAAAGGTAAAAACAGTATCAATACAAAAGGAACAATAAGGAATTTTGCGGGTCACCTGAATTCGTCCTTGGTAAAGAAGCCGCCGGTGAGCATCTTTTTACTGAAGGTGACGATGTCTGGGGCGTCCGGCAGCCCTAATAAACTGTGAGAGTCACCCATCAATACTCAATACAATGAACTGTCAGAGTCACCCCTCAGTACTCAATACAATAAACTGTCAGAGTCACCCCTCAATACTCAATAAAATAAATTGTGAGAGTCACCCATCAATACTCAATAAATAGAGTAAATCTTCTTTTTAATGTTGTTTTCTTTGAACTTTCCTTCAATATTTGAACTTTCCTTCCCTTATTATGTTCCTCTATGGAAAGAAACCCCGAGAATTTGTTCTTTTAGTGTATATCTAAGTGAATAAAAAGATATTTTTTCATATTTTATTATTCCCTTCGATGGAAAGAAACCACGGAATTTTGTTCAGTAAATATATCCGTGAATAGGGAAAAACATCGGAAATTTGTTCTCTTACTAAATAAATTAGTCGATAGACTGAAGAGGTATGCACAGGAATGAAGTTATACGTAATATTTAGAACTAAGAGGTATGTACAGGAATGATGTTATATGAATTACCTTGAGGAACAATAAATTTTATGTCCTCATGTCACGGCACATATATTAATCATGTATACTTAAGAGCATAAATATGAGTGATACTTGAGAGCCTAAATAAGAACGATGCTTAAGAGCTTAAATGAGATACTTAAGAACCTATATAAGAGCGATACTTAAGAGCCTTCTTGCGATACTTAAGTGCCTAAATAAGAGCCAAACTAAGGAGCCTAAATGTGATACTTAAGGGCCTAAATAAGAACGATGCTTAAGAGCTTAAATGAGATACTCAAGAGCCTAAATAAGAGCGATACTTAGGAGTCTAAATGCGATACGTAAGAGCCTAAATAAAAAGTTAAAAAAAAATATTCATATTGAACAGAACTGTAAATAATTAAGAACAAAACATTCAATTCCCGCACAATGAACCGTTATTTAAAACAATATCATTATTGTTTTACGGGATCCAGCTCATCTAATATATTATCTCGCAACATCTGTCATTCGTGTTTATATGCAAGATGATTCAGTAACTTCATCTTTATATGCCAAATAATTCAGTAACTTGGACTTTATATGCCAAATAATTCAGTAACTTCATCTTTATATGCAAAATAATTCAGTGACTTGGACTTTATATGCAAAATAATTCAGTAACTTGGACTTTATATGCCAAACAATTTATTACGAAAGTTACAACTGGAAATTATGCGTATTTTGACATCAGCATTATAGTTTTAAAATATCAGCCTTGAAATCGAGCAGCGCAAGACAATATTCCTACAGCAGGCTTGAGATTCAAGTATTTTGCACTCGCAGTTTGCGGACGTACAAACGGAATGTGTTCCTGATGTTCCTGAATACTTTAAAAGAATCACGAACCTAATTTCCGGGAAGAGCTTATGAACTCAGGACAATGTATGGCTCATTTTATCCAAACAGCACATGCGTTTTTAACCACAGCGTGGTCAGAGAGCGAACGTTGAACAGACACGCCCTTTATCCGCGCCAAACTGAGTCAGGATGACCCAGACGAAGGCAAAAAGTGTATCACTATATCGGCAAAAGATCAGTCATTTCTCTAGGCATGCAAGGAACATGGGAGAACAAACGCCTGAAGATTCATTCAGACCAGGAGCCATACCTTCAAAAAAAGTTAAGAGATCGTAAGTTCATCAGCCAATCATTGACGGCCTTTCAAGCAAAATCCACCAATCATAGACAAGAAAATATCTAAAGCTTCTTATACTAGAACAAAGCAATTTTTACGGTACACTCAAACAAACGCACGTGTCAATGTGTCCCTGAGGAAACAAAATTGTTATACAATTGCGATGATAAACAAAATTACAATTTTAATAATGTAAAAAACATTGCAATTGCATTTATTATTGCGATTATTACAAAAAATGGAATTTGCAAATATAAAGCGAGTACAATAGACAGAAAGCTTCAGTGATGACGCATCCGACTCTGGAAAACTCGTTCGGATGAAAGAAAAATCGAAGTTAAAAACCTTCAATTCTTTATGTACAGGAATAAACTTCACACACACAGTTTCCATATTCAAATGTTTAGACTTAATATCATTTTTTCTTCTTGAACTTAACCATTTGTTTTGCTTTTTAATATTGCAATACTAGAAACTAAGCAGTCCATTATTAAGTGAATGACCAGTAATTCAACGAAAATATATCAACAACTTTAACCTTTTCATTTGCTCCATAGCTTAACTTTACAGCGTCATGAATGCTTAAAAATATTTGAAATGAACTTTTTCTTCAATTTCGCCCCAAAACTTTTCCTTGGAAAGATTAACCAGCCTACCACTTCCAGCTAATCTCTGTCTGTGAATCACAATATGGAGTAAAATTACGATATTCTTCACAAAATCCAAATGAAGGCAAATGCAACAGAAACGCTAACCTTTTTGGCAGTGGCCTGAAGTCGAACGAAGAATTCGTTGCTGCCGTGATGGTCGCCGCCCTCAGACTGTATGGGCTCCACCACCACACCCACCACCGGCACCCCCTTCCTCTGGTACTCGTGCATCAGCTCTTCCACCTGCCAAGCATTAGTTATGGCTAGGTAGAGGTGGAAGGAGGTATNGAGGCACTCCCTTCCTCTGGTACTCGTGCATCTGCTCTTCCACCTGCCAAGCAATATTCATGAGTATATAAACTTATAAAAAAAAAGGTGGAAATCAATACAGACATTTGAATTGGCTCTTCCACCTGCCAAGACGTTGTCAGAGTATGAAATGTGAAAGTTTATTCCACCTGCCAAACAATATCATGGACATATTGTATATGGAAAAAAATAAAGATAAAAACATGTGCCTCCTTTGGCACTCGCCAATAGGCAAGACATTCAAAGAAGGATGCCATATGTGAGGACTGTGAGAAATGCCCTTCCCATAGCCCTCCCATAACAGTCCCATAGCCCTCCCATAGTAGATCTTATCTTATCTCCCAGCATGTGAACTGCTGAGATCTTATCTTATCTCCCTGCATGTGAACTGCTGAGATCTTATCTTATCTCCCTGCATGAGAACTGCTGAGATCTTATCTTATCTCCCTGCATGTGAACTGCTGAGATCTTATCTTATCTCCCTGCATGTGAACAGCTAGTATCTTCTACCACAAAAGATCATAAACTAAAGCAGATAAAAATGATTTATCATTTGTATCTACGTACAAATATCAGACAGTAACTGCAAGTTTTAAAACAGTTATGAATAAATTGATGAAGTTAATTTACTAGTTAATATAGCTGATGACGACAGAGAAGCTAACAGCAAAGAAATGAAGCTTATTTCCCAATATTAATTAATTAAAGTCTCCTTCAATCAATAATATAGAGAATTTTATTCAGACTCGTGCAAATAAATGCTTCTAATAAAGCTCGTGCAAATAGAGTAGCATTTTGGGACTCTGAAAAATGTTGAGTTTTACAACTGAGAAGGGAATCTGAAAACGAATTAAGAAACTGCGATTTCTACTTGGAACCCTGAATAAAAAAAAAGCTAAAATAGTGAACTTTAAAAAAAAGACTAAACAAAGGAATTTCGCGGAGGCAGTATCTTGCATAAACTTTAAAATAGTTCAATTTACCAGTTTAGTACAAATCTGATGGAGCAATGAAACTAAGCAGCAGTGGCAAGCAAGCCGAGGATTTCTAAAGCTTCTTATACTAGAACAAAGCAATTTTTACGGTACACTCAAACAAACGCACGTGTCAATGTGTCCCTGAGGAAACAAAATTGTTATACATTTGCAATGATAAAGAAAATTCAATTTAATAATATAAAAAACGTATCAATCGCATTTATTATTGTAATTATTACAAACGCTGGTATTTGCGATTATAAAGCGTGTACCTACAATAGATAGAAATAGAAAACCATCTTCAAGGATGACGCATCTGACTCTGAAGAATCGAAGTTAAAAGCCTTCAATTCTTTATGTACCAAAAAGTTCACACACACAGTTTCTATATTCAAACGGGTAGTTTTCATTGCATCTTTTCTACGTGAACTCAACCATTTGTTTTGCTTTTTAATTTGTCAATACTAGAAAATCAACAGTCCATTCCTGAGTGAGCCGGAAAGATAAGATATCAACAACTCTAATAATTTGCCTTGTTTATAATCATAGTTTTCATTTGCCCCATAGCTTACAGCTACAGCAACACGAATGATTAAAAATATTCGAAAGAAACTTCTATTCAATTTCGCACCGAAACTTTTCCTTCGAAAGATGAACCACCCTACTCATTCCCGAAACTTTTCCTTCGAAAGATGAACCACCCTACTCATTCCCGAAACTTTTCCTAGTTAAAAGTTATTATATTGTCAGAAATAGAACTTCATACTTAAAAGTTGTTATATTATTATAAATATTTAAAACTATTATAGTTAAAAGTTATTCAATTATTATCAATAGTTAAAAACTATTTCTAGCGTTAAAAAACATTGAAGAGAGGCGTTAAATGAGCCTTTTAACAACAGTGCTTTAGAACAACAGTGCTTTATTACAGTCATACTAAAATGATTAGTGTCATACTAAAATTATTAATCAGGCACCTTTTTTCTTGAGTTTGTTGATGATGTTATCTCTTGTTTGGCTATCGCGGCCGTTAAAGGCGATAAAGGTTCCTCTGTCCTTGCCGCGCGTAGAGTTGATCACGGCAGGATAGCGGCGCTCGAGATCAACGATGCCCTATTTGTTATATAATGAATATAAATAATATATAACATAAGGATATTTACATATCCTAGTTTATATTTGTGTATCCTAAGGTAATGTATGACGCTTTCTTATTTGTAACGCAGGATATCGGCGCTCGAGATCAAGGATGCCCTATTTGTTATATAAGGAATATAAATAAGATATAAGATAAGGATATTTACATATCCTAGTTTATATTTGTGTATCCTAAGGTAATGTATAACGCTTTCTAATTTGTAAGGCAGGATAGCGGCGCTCGAGATCAAGGATGCCCTGCACCATCATCATCTTATTTATATATATTTACAGCTATAGATGATTTGCAGATATTTATATGTAATATTTCTCATACATAGGTAATATTTAGCGCATTGAGTTGGATAAGGCATTAAAGCGGCGCTGTAGATCGAGAATTCCTTGCACCAACATCGTCTTATTTATATATATTTATATCATTATGTATAGTTACATATCCACATGTAATATTAACAAATCTTTATGTCATATTTGTGTATCCTAAGGTATTATTAATTAAGTTAACGTTAATTAAGTTAACGTTTAACGTTAAACAATCAGTTAAAATTATTACTATTATACTGGAAATATTACAGTCAAACTAAAAGTATTAGTCATAGCACCTGGTATAACTTGTCGCCCGTAACTGTAGCGTTGTGGAGGAGGTTGTCACGCTTGATCACCTTCAGCACCTCCTGCAGCATGATCACCTTCCCAGGCTCCCCCATCCATGTGTTGAAAATCCGGTAGCCTTGAGCTGGTCTGCGGTGAGACGTAGAAATTATTGCTCGATCATTAACAAACTTTTTTTTATTAACAAACATATTACCAAACTTTTATTGCTTGATGATATTCCGTGATAAGATATATTAAATCCTTGATAATATTTCGTGATAAGATATATTAAATCCTTGATAATATTTCGTAATAAGATATATCAAATCCTTGATGATATTTCGTGATAACATATATTAAATCCTTGATAATATTCCGTGTTAAGATTTATTAAATCCTTGATAATATTTCGTGATAAGATTTATTAAATCCTTGATAATATTTCGTGATAAGATATATTAAATCTTCGGAAATATTTAATGAAAAGATAAAGTTCCATCTCAACCAATATTAGGAGAAAAAAAAAGACAGACTTTTGTCAAACGTCGTTAAGTCAACTTGGCATGAAGAAAAAATTCCTTTTTATCTGAGACGAAAAGGGCATTGACATTCCTATATGATTATGCATGGCAATGATATCACCTTATGTTCACAAGCATACAATTTCGTTGCGTCTAAAACACACAAGCCTCTGTGAAATATAATTAACTTCATCATGCGGTGGCTATGTTATGCGTTCTGATCGATTGCTTTTGGAATTATCGGTTACAGATGTGATTCGGGATCCAAACCTAATTAAAAAAGAAACAATTGACGATAATAAAAAGCAAATGTATAAAAATAGAATAAAAGTTTAGCGGGTGACCTAAACTGCTTATAGTGACAAAGCCGGCGGCGAGCGTCTTAGTCAACATCATATATCAGGCGACACATCTGTTATTATGAAGTAATTATATGTTCTGGATGTGAGTCTCAACCCAATTTGGAAAAAAAACAAAGAGGAGCGACTCACTTGGTTTCATGTCGTCACGGCGTATATACTTAATTAAATAATAATAAAACAATAGAAAGGTAAAAAAGTATCAATATAAAAGGAAGAATAATTAATATCACTCACCTGAATTCGTCCTTGGTAAAGAAGCCGCCGGTGAGCATCTTTTTACTGAAGGTGACGATGTCTGGGGCGTCCGGCAGCCCAAAGTGTTCATAGCACCACATCTTGCCCGTGGGGCCGCCCCCCGTCTGTACCTCGTCCAGCAGCAGCGCCGCGCCGTTCTGTCAGAGTCACCCCTCAATACATAATAAAATGTGAGAGTCACCCCTCAATACTTAATAAAATGTGAGAGTCACCCCTCAATACTCAATAAAATGTGAGATAGTCACCCCTCAATACTTAATAAAATGTGAGAGTCACCCCTCAAATACTTAATAAAATGTGAGAGTCACCCCTCAATACTTAATAAAATGTGAGATTCACCCCTCAAATACTTAATAAAATGTGAGAGTCACCCCTATATACTTGATAAAATGTGAGAGTCACCCCTCAATACTTGATAAAATGTGAGAGTCACCCATCAATACTTGACAAAACGTTGGAGTCACCCCTCAATACTCAATAAAATGTGAGAGTCACCCCTCAATACTT